TGGTTTCACTAAGATGAAGCTCCTTCGCATGACACACGTGAAGTACATCAATTTTTACATCATTGCTTTCCAAGGAGGTGGATCGGAAGACGAGGTTTTATAGAGTGGCCAGCAAGGTCGCCAGATCTAACACCTCTAGACTTTTTCCTGTGTGGTTACATAAAATCAAAAGACTTTATGTCTATTGACCTAACTTGATTATGTCAATAGACTTCAAAACTTACAGGACTTGAAAGATAGAATTAGGCATGAAATGAGTCTAATTACTCCAGAAGTCATCCGCAATGTACTTGATGAATGTGTCCGTAGATTCGCATATTGTCAAGAAACCGATGGATGGCATTTCAAACATTTAATTTAAAAGTTTGGTCGTATATTAAGGAAAAGTCTATCCTACAGAGGTAAATTTACGCCAAGAATTGGAAGAAAGAAATCAACGTCAATTTAATGACATCATAGCTGATCCCCTACGGTTTAGAAGGTTAATGGAATCTTTAGAAAGAAAAAAAGAATAAACTTGTGCATTCGCGAAAACAGAGGGCATTTTGAACATTTACTGTAATTGAATTTTATTTTATGTTCTTAGTCATTAATTTAATTTTCTTCTTGTGAGTTTTGTGTAATTACTAACTATTTTATACCAGCATCAATTATTACTTCATAATTTTCAAATCAAAATATTCCGAAAACGGTAGGTACACCGTATCGAGTTTTACCGAGAGTACCTTTTTCGTGCAAAATTAAATGATGTTTAAGTTTACTTGAAACATATTCGTATAAAATTGCATTACAATGTTGCCAGTAGTTTCGGCAAAATCGTAAAAACTGCGTAAATTTTTTTTCTTCAACGCCCTGTATCTTGAAAACGGATGGCGTTATAAAAATTTTTTACTAAGCAAACCCCAATTATTTTTCAGTTTTTTACCTACCCTAGAGACAAGGTTACCTTTTTTTGAAACACCCTGTGTGTATATTGTATAAACGATTTCAGTTTTTTCCACACATCTCCGAATGCAACCTTAATGTATTTTCGAATTTGGTGTTCCTTATAATTTCTATATTTGTAAATATTGTTTTCGGCTGTTTTATTTCTTTTATGCGAATATAAAACAATTATCATGGGAAAAAAATGAAGTTTGATTCACAGATAGGAAACATTATACAAATCAAAATAAAGTTGTTTTCCTAGACATTTTTTAATGCACACATAAAGTATTTGAATTTATAACATTTTTATGTATTACCGGTTGGCCTTGACTTCTAATCATAGGCCGGTTTACTATAGAAGGAAATTTTTATTAATATATTCGTAAAAATTTGTTGTGTTGTGGGTGCATTTTTCTAATATGGGACTAAAATCTTAATTTTTGTATATTTTACAGTAAAATTAGATAACGCAGATTGGGCTCTTTAATTTTAATAATTTATCTCTAAGCAATATTTTAACGATATAAGAAATCTTTAACAGTTTTCTTTTATTTAAGATGGCTTTTTCTTTTCACCTCGGAAAAAGTTTATTATAAAAATAAGGGGTTATTTTAACCTTTAAATATTTATTAATTCCAGTTCGGATTTAGAACAAAATACTCTAGCGACTTCAAGTACTTAGATTGACATAACACATACCAGATAAATTTAACGAAAAACAGTATACAGGAGCAGCGTTCCTGGATGTTAGCAAAGCCTTCGACAGAGTCTGGCATAAAGGGCTAATACACAAAATGAGAGGCTAGGGATACAGTGAGGCCCTGACGAGACAGATCTCCTCGTACTTCGAGACTGCAGGAAGCAGTCCTGTCACCGCTACTGTACACAATATACACCGCAGCCTTTATGCAGACGACACACAGAAACTTAGAAGTAGCAGTCAACAATTTACAGACAGCATTGGATAACATTGAAGAATGGTGTATCACACATTCAAAAAGAAAAGAGAAGCCCCAGAGGAACAGCTGTTAGTTCAAGATAATCCCGTCTAATGGAAAAGAGAAGCAAAATACTTAAGAGTCACTATGGACCAAGGCTTAACCTTTACCCAACACGTGGACACAACCATCCAAAAAACAGCAAAAGGCAGAGCAACAATAAGAGAACTCATAGGTAGAAAAAGCAAACTCTACATAAAGACGAAAATGAGACTGATATTCACTGATATCACACTTCCAATAATCACATACGCATCTCTTGCATGGGGACACATAATCAATTCAAATAAAAAGAAAATACAAGCAGCCCGCAATAATATCCTTACAGAAGCGGCAAATGTACCTAGATACGTCGTTGAACGCTTTCTGTTTAGAGAACTGCGACAAGTAAGGGTGATAGAAAAAATGACAGAAAAAGCCAGAATTACGTTTGCAGAATTAGAGAATCATCCAAGCCTAATCCTGGGAGAGATAATAAGATACGCTGCGTTCCATCCATGGAAGCATAAAAGACCAAATGAGCAAATCCTGGCAAACAGATCATCATCAGCGGCATTACACCTCGTTATGAGCCAAAAGCTTCTTCAGAACAATCTTCGATTCGCCCCTGTGTCTGGCAACTCTTCTCCGTGCTTTAACTCCGATGGATTTTAGATCATCATCTATGTTATCTTGATACCTAAGTTTTGGTCTTCCTCTGGATCGTCTTCCCACTGGTCCTCTTTGGTCGAAAATTTTTTTGATCGTTGCCTCTTCATCTCGCCTAATTACATGTCCTATCCATCGGAGGCGTGCTAATTTAATATGTAAGGCAAACACATAAAGTCTAGATAATTCATAGCTCTAATAACAGAAAAAGCCCCAGCAGGCAGCACTGAAAATTGTATTAATTGATGTTTATGTTCAGGACTGCCTTCAAAAAAATAATAAATTTAAATAAATAAAGGCTTTGGCCACCAAAATCAAAAAATACTAACTAAAAAAAATCAAAAAATACTAACAAAAAGACGACAGCCATCCAAAAAAAACTTAACAAAATTAAAAATACTGGGCACAAAGGGCCCACAGCCTCGGACACAGAGTCGCCGAACTGGGAACTGGGTGCAGCCCCGAGCGGAGACTCGAGGCCCGAGCAAGCAATTTCAGTTCGATGATACGTCACTAGAGAAAGCAGGAAAAGATCGCGTCACACTAGCCTGCACTGATCGGATTAGGATGTCGTGTTGAAGTTCTTGTACCCAGAGGTTCCTCACAAAAAGAGTGCTATAGGGAGAAAAGAAATGGTCTGGAGCATTGGAGCGCGGTGGAGTGACTGCTGTTTTTACTGGAGTTAATATACCTTGCTCCAATGAATTGTTACACCCAAACCTAATTCTTAGGGATGACTCACAGGCTGGATTTACTTAAATTGCTTGCTTGTTTGCACCCGGGTAACAAATTGGACCCCCAAAACCCGGTACATTTTTTCTTCTAGAAATATTTCGAATCTTAAGACAAGTATAATACTGTTTTTAACATTTGAAACAAACGAATATTAACGCCTTGACCTTCTCAAGCTTTCTACGCCATTCTGTTCTGTCCCTTTTGTTGGTAAGTTATCCTCTTTGTTGGTAAGTTAGTTACCTTCCTTATCATTACAATAGTTGATTCTCGGTTTGAATTATTTTCTAATATGATGATAAAACTTTTTTGTTTCTTCGTGACTCATATGGCTTTCTAGCCGTTCTAATATGTCATTTTCCGAGTCTCGTTTCTTTTTTCGGTGTATGCGTTTTTCCTCTCTCCTTAAGTTTTTGTATATATCTATTGTTGTTATAGTTTTCCTTTGTTGCATGGTCCTAAATGCCTTGTTCTTCTTATCTGTTATTTTTTTGCAGTCTTGGTCGAACCAGTCGTTTCGTTCTTGGGGTCGGGATATTCCCAATGTGCTTTCGGCTGCTAATTTCAGAGCCTCCTTGCAGTTGTTCCACATTTCCGACCTAGGGTTTCTTTTATATGTGACTGGAACTGTTTCTCTTTGTTTTCATTTTTTGCATATGTAAATTATATTTTACTTGTCTTGTACCACTTTCTTTTTTGGCATTGGAAATTCTTTGTCGTAACTTGCCCTCCACCATGAAATGGTCTGAGTTAATATTTGTGAGTCTGTAACTTCTGACGTCCATTAGCTTTGTAAAGTGCCTTCTGTCAATTATAACATAGTCAATTTGATTTGTGGTGCGTTCATTTGGTGATATCCAAGTTTCTTTATGGATATTCTTATGATTGAAACATGTACTTCACACAATTAAATCTTTGGAAGCTGCCATACTAATAAGTCTTAAACCATTGTCATTAGTACCCTCATGAAAGCTGTATTCACCAATATAACCTTGGTAGCATATCTCTTTTCCTATCTGGGAGTTCATGTCTCCAATGGGTATTTTAATATCGTTTTTGGCACAGTTGTCATATGCTCTTTCGAGGTCTTCGTAGAATAAATCTTTAAATTCTTCGTCTTTTTCCCCGGTTGGTGCTCGCGCGTTGATCAGGCATATGTTGAAAAAAGTTCCTTTTATTCGAAGGATGCATAACCGATCAGTTATGGTTTTAAAACCAATAATAATTTTTTTATTTTCTTTAATACATACTAGGAACGAGGTTCCGAACTCATGTCGGTTCGGGTTGCAGCTGTAATATATATCATGTTCTTTTTTCTGAATAATGCCGGTTCCTGTCCATCTCATCTCTTGAATGGCGGTTTCACATACCTCACTTTAATAATATTAGAACACCGCTCCTATAATTATATTATTAATTAACCTTTATTTTCGAAAAATCATATGTAATCTATCGAAAAATTTAAATTTAAACCATTATGTTGATTGGTCTCATAAAAATTACATAAAATAATAATTATTTCTACTGTCTGCAATATTTATAATGGTCCATAATATAAAGACTGGCCTAAAAATATAATAAAATAATTCGTGTGTATTTTTAAGGTCAAAGTATTAAGTCTACCTGATTATTTCGTGATTAGTTCATATCTTATCTTTTCCAATTTATTTACCTCGTCAGTTCAGTGAATCTAATAGTGAGTGATCGATAGGCAAGTGATAATAGTGCAATATGTCTAATATTCTAAAGGAAGTGTATGAAGAATGGGACGAATTACTGGAAGATTATAAAAAGTTGGACGCTGTCAACGAAGTGTATTTGAAGAAAATTAAAGAAGTGACTGCATTACAAGACAATTGTAAAAAACACATTATACATCAAAGATACAGAATACAAAAACTAAGTCAGTCGTTGAAAGATGTATCAGAAAATCCAAAAGCCAAAGAAATGCACGAAAAGTTTGCGAAGCGAGAAGCAGATCTGCAAGATATTGAACAAAATTTACCAAGAAAAAGTGACAGATATATGTTAAAAATTATTTTAGGTAGAATAGATGTGTCATTTCTAAACAAAGAAAGAAAATTTCAGTACAAAGAAGACTACGAGAAATTTAAACTTGTCTGCCATTTTATTGCTTTCGTTTTAGCTGTTACTTTAAATAATTACAATCATAGATTTTTGGACAAGTTGTTCGCCGGCTTTTTGGCATGGTACTATTGTACTATTTCAATTAGAGAAAGTATCCTCAAGGTAAATGGATCCAGAATCAAAGGTTGGTGGAGAGTTCATCACATTCTTTCTATAGTTAGTTCTGGTTTGTTACTAACGTGGCCTGACAATGAACCATGGGAGTTGTTTAGGGTGTACTTCATCCGCTATACTATTTACAGTGCTTTTGCTCAGTACCTTCAGTTTAAGTACCAACGTGGAGTTCTCTACAGACTAAAAGCTCTTGGTGAAATGGAAAACATGGATATCACCGTAGAGGGTTTCCATTCTTGGATGTGGAGAGGATTAACGTTCCTACTACCATTTTTGTTTATTGCATATATTTTCCAGCTGGTCAATGCTATTGTTCTATTTGACTTGAGCCAGCATCCAGAGGCTTCTTGGGAAAGTTCTGCACTGGCTATTATCTTCTTAGTGTTCTTCGTTGGTAATTCAATCACAACCTTAGGTGTTATTCCAAAGAAGACGAAGAAAAATATGTTAATTAAATATAAGATATTGTCTAGTAAATTTTATGAAACAATTAGTGATTCTGTAAGGAAAGACAACTCCAAGGATAGTAGAAAAAAAGAAAGTAAGCTAAATTAAAAATTAAGTTGATTTGAATGGATATTTTTAAAGTTATAATATACATTTTGTTTACAAAAGTGTGATATTAGTTTTACGAGAACTTCTTTGTAATTAATAAAGTGTTGTATTTTTATAACATATTTTTAATTACTTCCTTAATTATAAACGATACTTCATTGTGCAAAAATTAACTAATAGCATTGAATTTTTTTTCGCACTAATCCTTATGGTTATTAGTGATATAAGATACATAATATTTCATATACAGGGTAATTCTTTTGGAGTTAGTCGTTTTAGACAAACTTTTTACTTTACTTTACTCCGTGGCGTTACAACCCTTCGTGGGTTTTAGCCGACTCCACAACATGCCTCCACTGTTTTCTGTCTTGAGCAACCTCCATCCAATTCTCCACGCCCATAGTGTTTAGGTCTCCTGCTATATTATCTCGCCACCGGAGACGAGGGCGTCCGCGTGGTCTCCTTCCAGTTGGGACTTCCTCCCACACCAGTCTTACTGTTCGTTCGTCAGAATGTCTTCTGAGGTGTCCTGCCCATTGGAGTCTTCTGGACTTTATTTCTTTTATGATGTTGGCGTCTGGGTAAAGTTCTTCAAGCTCTTTATTAGTTCTTATCCTATATTGTCCTGATGCTTCATCAAGCACCGGACCAAAGATCTTCCTTTCTTTTTTTTTTCCCAAACACGTAGTCTCTCTTCATTTGCCTTTGTTATCGTCCACGTCTCGCTTCCATACATCACAACGGGTCGTATGATTGTTTTATAGATATGTATCTTCGTACGTCGTATTAGTTGTTTTGATTTTATAAGGTTTTGGAGGGCAAAAATACATCTGTTGCCGGCCTGAATCCTGTTGTTTATTTCTTGTGATCCGTTATTGTCTTCAGTTATTGTTGTTCCAAGATACTTGAATTCTCTAACGCGCTCAAAGTTAAAGTCATCGATGGTAATGTTCTGACCGATTCTGTCTCTGCTTTGGTTATTGCGGCTCATATACATATATTTCGTCTTGTTTTCGTTGATTTGGAGCCCCATCTTCTCTGCTTCCTTCTCAAACCTTACGAAAGTCTCCTTCATCCTTAATCGCGTATTTCCTATTAGATCTATATCGTCTGCAAATGCCAGTAGTAAGTTTGGTCCTTCTCGATGAAATACTGTATTCGGTTTTTCGATTCTTGAACTTCTGATTACGTGCTCCAGAGCTAAGTTGAAGAGTTGTGGTGAAAGTGCATCTCCCTGTTTTAGTCCATTGTTTATTTCAAATGTCTCCGAGTATTGTTATCCAACTCTCACCTTACATCGTAACCGTTCCATACACATCCGTATCAACCGGACTAGTTTTTTTGGAAAGCCAAGTTCCTGCATCGCTGTCCACAGTCTGTCCCTATATACTCTATCAAATGCTTGTTTAAAATCTATGAACATCTGATGAAGCTCACGATCAAACTCCTAGCATTTTTCCATTATCTGTTTTATTGTGAATATCTGGTCAATTGTAGAGCGGCCCGGTCTAAATCCGCATTAATAATCTCCAACGATTTCTTCTGTGTATGTTTTGGTTCTTTCTAGCAGGATGTTTGCAAGGATTTTGTAGGTGGTGTTTAGGAGTGTTATTCCCCTGTAGTTAATACATTGCTTTTTGTTTCCTTTTTTGTGTATTGGTACAATAACCCCTTCTTTCCATTCATCTGGCATTATTTCTTCTTGCCAAATGTCTTGAATTAGCTTGTATATCGAACTGTACAACGCTTCTCCTCCATGTTTTAAGCACTCTGTGGGTATACCATCGCTACCTGGTGTCTTATTATTTTTGAGTTTTTTAATTGCCTGTATTACTTCTTCGTATGTCGGGTATTGGTCTTCTATTTCAGCTGTATGTACCTCTATGTTTGATGTACTTCTGCTCGATTGGTCATTCAATAGTTGATAGAAGTATTCCTTCCAGGTTTTTAAGATTTCCTTGTCATCAGTGATAAGGTGTCCACTGGCGTTTTGAAGAAAGTTTCCTGTTTTTGCTTGGTACCCGGTTTTGATATCTGAAACTCCTTTAAAGAACTGCCTCGCTTATTTGTTCTTTCTTTTTTCTTCTATATCTCTGATTATTTGTTCCTGATACTCTCTCTTCTTTCTTTTTATTAGTTTTCTTCTCTCTGTTCTTCTTTTTCTATACATTTCATTGTTGTTGTGCGAGGGGTTTTGTAGCATGTTCCTTCTAGCCATATTTCTTGCTAATATGGAGTTCAGGCAATCATCATCGAACCATTTTTTTGTTGTTTTCTTTTTGTGTCCTAGTATTTCATCTGATACGCTTGTCAGAGCTACTTTGATATTTTTCCAAGCTGAGTCTATGTTGTTATAGTCTTCTGTCTGTGCTAGAGCGATTTTAATAGCCTATTGAAATTTCTGTTCTGTCTCCTTATTACGTAGAACTTCAATATTCCATAATTGTGTTGGTGTATTCTTGTGTGTTTTTTTGGACGCTATTCTTGTCCTTATCTTCGCTTTTACAAGAAAATGATCCGTGTCTCCATCAGCTCCTCTTAGGCTTCTTACGTCTAGACAGTTCCTACCCCTCCTGGCATCTAATTTTGGTGTTTATTGAAGGTAAACTAAATGCACGAACAAATACTTACCATGTCGGGATAGTATTATGAGGTTTTGTTCCTGGTTTTTCCCTCATAATTTACTATGGAATCACTAACAGGAGAAATTTACTGTCATCATGTCATGTGTTTGTCTTTTTAAAGACGAATTACATGCTATGATTTTGTTCTGACAAATATTCTCAAGTTAAAGTTGATTTCATGTAATCGAATGAACTATCTTATAAGTAAAGTCGTCCCAGGAGCGCAACTCAACAATATTGGCAATATCATTTTAAAGTCGTCTACTTTAAAATACATAATGTATGTCTGAATTGTCAATATAAATGAGTCAGATAAAATTAAATTATTAAAAGAATTTTTCACTATGTAACAAAAAAACAAAATTCGTTTAATTTACTGTTTGTATTTTGAGAACGATTTCCGAAGTGGCAATTGAAACGTCAATAAAGGTATTTTTATCTTTAATTGTGGCTTATTGCCAGTTAAATAGTAATTAATTTAAAATGCCACAAGAAAATAGCTTCAGAACAATATTAAATCTTGATATAACATCTTTGTATTCTTGCTCATGATCTTATATTTAGCTGCTTAACCACCTGTGATATAATCGTTGTTCCTCTTATTTTAATGCTTGAAGGTAGTTGTTCCACCAGAAAAAATTTTTCAAACGAAAAATCATGTATTTATGTCTGCTTTCTATTAACTTTGTTTTTATAAATTCTCTCGATTTTGAAGATTTTGAAATTTTTCCTATCTAAATACAATGATTCCTAAAAAGAACTAAAACCAAATAGGACAATGAGTATGTAGTTTAATTTAGATAATTAAGCCCTGTATATGCATCGTTATAAATCTGAGTTACCAAAATTTATTGCGTCAAAGCATGCAAGTTTTTTAAAAACACATTTCAAAATTAGTTTGACATAAACATGGTTTCCCAATAACGGCTTACGAACATCGTTCAAAAGGGAAAATGCAAATTACGACAATCACAACGTTTTTCAATTTTACCTTATATTGACGTATATGAGCACAATAAAGTTTTTAAATTAGATAATAAAATAGAACAGGAAGAAGTTTTAATATAATATAGCGTGTTTTAAAGTATTGGTAATTATATAAGCACCAAATACAGACAACAAAGCAATAATTTTTCATGATTAATAAACAAAAGAACCGTAAACACAAACATTGAATTGCAGAATTACGATTTTAGGATTTAAACAAACAATTTATTCTTCTATGAATGTAAAACATTGTATATGCCGCTAAAATATTAATCAATACAACTATGAGTGTATGACATTAATCAAAAATCGTTTTTCACTCTCACAGCTCCAACATTCAAACTTTTATTGTCAATTGTTTATAAAATATTTATTTTTAAAACATTGAAGCACACTCATGCACACCGTTTGAAACTCATATAAAAAATAAGTTAAAAAATACAATTGTAGTATTATTTGGGTTACAAACATAGGACTACAAAATATAGTAAAAACATTTGAACTACGTATTTTTCAAAAGTATTTAAAGCTGTTCTACACTCATGCGAAAATATGTTTTTTTATAGCTCTTTTTCTATCCGAATTGACCGATAAAGGCCTCTCCCATTTCTCGCCATTCATCCTTGTTGTGTGCTAGGCGTTTCCACATTGGTCCTGCGACTCTTTTGATATCGTCGCTCTAGCGCATTTGAGGTCTTCCTCTTAGTCTCTTCGCATCGTACGGTCGCCAGTTTCCGACTTCTTTGTACCATCTACCATCTTCGAGACGTTCATTGTGTCCAGCCCATTTCCATTTTAATTTAGCTGCTTGTTTCGCGGCGTCCTTTATTTTTGTTTTGTTCCGGATTGCTTCGTTCGTTTGCCGATCTATTAGTGAGATACCAAGCATCTGTCGTTCCATGGATCGCTGAGTTTTTCGAATCTTGTCCATGTTCTTTTTTGTAAATATCCAGGTTTGAGCTCCGTCAGTGAGAACGGGAATGATACAAGAATCAAACACTTTGCTTCGAAGGTTTTGGGGTATCTTTTTGTGTTTCAGTATGTATGAGAATTTTCCAAATGCGGCCCATCCCATTCTTACTCGTCTGCTTATTTCGGTAGTTTGGTTTTCTTTGTTTACCTTGATATTCTGACCCAGATATATGTATTCTTCTACATGTTCCACTTTTTTTCCTTGGATGGTTATCGTCGGTTGGTCATCTTTATTCGACATTAGCTTAGTTTTACTCAGATTCATTTTCAGTCCTTTTTTTATGGATTCCGTATGAAGCTCATCGATCATCGTCTTCAGTTCTTTCCAGCTGTCGGCTATTAGTACTACATCATCTGCATATCTTAGATGGTTTAAATACTTTCCGTTTATCGATAGTCCCTTCGTTTTCCAATTTAGTGATTTAAAGATGTCTTTAAGTGTGGCAGTAAATAGTTTTGGAGATATGGTGTCTCCCTGTCTTACTCCTCGGTTAATTTTTATTGGCCTCGTTTTCATTCCGTTATCCATCGTGAC